ATTACCTTCATTGATTATTAGTATAATTAAATAAAATGTTGTTTATCAAAGTGCATGTACAGTATAGTTTCAGCACTATACCATTTCTAAACTTATTACATATGAAGGGATAAAAATATACGTTTTTCGTGCAAGTATCATTATAATTTACCTATGCGATATATATATACGAATTCACCTCGTTTAACTTTGCTTGAAATTAATGCGAAAGTCTAACATACTAATAATAGTATGGATGTATAAATCGTAATTTCCTCATAAATTATTTATGAATTAAAATTATTACAATTATCTGATTAATATTTTGTAATAAGTGTACAACCTATTATTGATAAGAGTTATTTTATAATACTCCATATTAAAAGGCAGTAAGCTTAATGTGGTACATTCTGTAAGTATGAAGGCACATTTTTATATATTATATAACTATTAATGTTCACGGTTCCATCTCCATACAGTGGCGTCATCACAAACACATAATAGCACTGAGCCATCTCTACTTAAACTTGTCTGTCGTATAGGGGCAGTACATCTAGGATGATGAAGGGAATAACACCGTGCTTGTCCAGGTTCATCAACCTCTAAGTCCCATACATATGTTCTGCCAACTTGATTTCCTAAAGCTATTGTGCGTTGCCAAAAATCCATTGAAAACCTTATAAACCATATATCACATTCTTTAAATTCAAATCGATGTAAAACTGTGGCACTTGTTTCTCCATTACGTAGTTGAGAATCTTCGAGACGTCCTGGTTTCCAACATACGATACAGTTTTCACAAGATTTGCTTAAAATAAAGTCACCATACCATTTAACACAATCAACGTAGTTACGATGTACATCTCGTGTAGTGAAGTCTGGAAAATGTTGCAGTATGGAATCAAAAGGTCTTCCGTTACGGGTAGGATTAGAGTAATAAGATTGTTTTATTGCTTCTTGCATATCCGGTTTATCCAATGACCATAATTTCAAAGCATGATCCATGCCGCATGAGATGATACGTTCCCCTTTCATATCAAAGTCTGCACTTAAAACTTCATCTCTATGGCCTTCGACTCCGCCAAAAATTGCTATACAGACATCAGTTTTTATATTCCATAACCTGAGAGCATGGTCCTTTGATGCTGAGAGCAATATATTGGGATCTTTAGGATGAATTTTTAATTCATTTATTGCATGGCCGTGTCCAATATAATGCTTAATACAAGTCATAGTTACAGGACTAATGACTCTAACAACACCACGTGATCCTGCCACTGCTAATAGAGGTTTTCCAGAATCATCGTAAGTCCAAATACAAGTATAAAAATTTTCTTCCGGATCAGGATCCGCATAGCACTGACGTAGTCTGATATTACCCCCTTCGGGACACTCGTAAATGCTTACACGATTGCTTCCTACAGAAGCAAATATTAATGGCTCTCCTTCCTTTAAATGATGATTGAACTGTACACCAAACAACGGTTGTCCATGATCTTCCTTAATACTGCAGCAATATTTATAAAGGGGCTTATCTGTGCAAGACTTATATTTTGTAGTTTTACTTCTACGTCTTCCTTTCCTTCTGTAACGTGCGCTGCGTGTAGGTGTGTCACTACGATGAGTACCTGCTGTCGAATTACTACCAATGCTGCATTCAGTTTCATCGCTATCATTTTCACTATCTTCTTGACTCGATGCATATGTTTGACCCTTATTACTCGTCTTTTTCATTTCAGTATTATATATACAACTTTAAACGTATTATATTGAAAACCCAATAGTGGGAATTCCGCTAGTAATACCAAGTATTGCCTCTGCTATGTTCAATATTCTGTTACCTAGCTGAACACAACTTTGTAATTTCTGGAAAGTATAAAATGGTCAGAACAATGAGATAAATATAAGTTAATGGTAGAGAAGATTATAAGGGCATACAGAAACATTAGCAGATAAAAATCTGATATTATATTTATTCCGTAGCTTTGCTGATTTATGGGAAATCAATCCCATACTACTAGAAGTCTCCTTGCAATTTACTAAACACGTGGCTCCAGCGATTATATAATGCTCATCTATGAGGTTTATATTTGCTTCTACCTTAAATAAGAATTTATCTAAGTAAAATTTTTGTAAATCGATGTATAACTTAAAACCATTTTAAATGATTTATATACTTACCTCAGACAAAGATTGAAATCTCCAATCAAATACAAAAATAATGAAATCTACTGTAATATCAACTTCTACCTTTACTACTTCATTAACAAATTCACACTGGTGCACCACAATATTCCATTGTCTTCCTTTTACACTTTGATGTAATCCTTGAGAAACCTTTTGACATAAATCTGCTGACCCGACAACCTATAAATAATGTTTCATATTATCAACAAAATGTTCAAATTCGAATGGCCTTAGTTTAGCATAACCTACAAAATCGGAGCTACAATATTATTTTGAATATTAACAGATAAATGGACAATCAATTATTATAATTTTGCATAGTCAGTATCGTATTAAACTAAGATGATACTTTCTCATATTAAAACAAATATACAATCTTCTTTTTAACATATGTATTGCTAAATAAATGTAAAAAATAGATCTTCACAGTTTGGTATTTTGTTATCAAAGCAAAATTATAGATTGTTGTGTATTTGTTGTGATTTTATGAGAATTCAATGAAACACAAAGTAACATAAAATGGAATATTGAAGTATTATAAACGCACCAAAAACGAAATTAAAGATTCATATCGGCGTTTACCGAACTTAGCAAGAATGTAAGCCATATCCTCATATCACGTCTTCATAGGATGGCTACCGGCCATATTACATTACGTACATACAGTAATGGGACTTGCTTCTTGCACGCTTTTCTTACTCCCTATGCTGGCGCGCACATCCCCACCATTTTACTGCGCATCCAATCTGCAGCGAATTCTGTCTCAGCAGTGAATCGTCAGCCAATCAAGGCAAAGAGAATTCTACGTCGACCCTTGCTAACGGATCAAACTGCGACCTAGAAGTTTGCAACAGTAAGATCCATTACTATACATATGTACACAAATGAGCCTAAATAAATTATCATATATTTGTACGTATGTACGTATATAACATTCTGCTATTTATTAAAATTATATATCGTATATTACAATTCTGATACATATGTAATTGAGGTATTCGATGGGAAAAGGACACACACGTTTCCCAAAAATCTGTNTAACAAAACAGAAAAAATCTTTCTTTTCTTTTTCTTTTGGAACGTACTAGCGCGAAAGAATACAATTGTATTTTCCAATCTCGAACTAGTCAAACGTGTATAGCATTATATATATGTCATGGCACTATACACGTGTATAGCAATAATTATGTATCTATACAAGGTATGTATACGCGGATATCTTATATACATACGCATATATGGAAACGCATATGTGTTTCCTCACTAACGTGTATATGCATTTCCGTCGCGTGTACGTACACCGAGTATGTACAACTTTTATGTACATACAGTTTCAGAGCAGTGCAACATACATACATACATACATACATACATACATACATACATACAGTCGGTGTACAAAGTATTCGTACACCTTCTAAAATGGATTACAGTAATGGGACCTACTTCTGCACGCTTTTCTTACTCCCTATGCTGGCGCGCACATCCCCACCATTTTACTGCGCATCCAATCTGCAGCGAATTCTGTCTCAGCAGTGAATCGTCAGCCAATCAAGGCAAAGAGAATTCTACGTCGACCCTTGCTAACGGATCAAACTGCGACCTAGAAGTTTGCAACAGTAAGATCCATTACTATACATATGTACACAAATGAGCCTAAATAAATTATCATATATTTGTACGTATGTACGTATATAACATTCTGCTATTTATTAAAATTATATATCGTATATTACAATTCTGATACATATGTAATTGAGGTATTCGATGGGAAAAGGACACACACGTTTCCCAAAAATCTGTGCATTGTTTGATGTGTAACAGATAAGAGGAACCATAAAATCACAACGTGAGAGAGGCAATATTGTATTTTTAAACATTTTCGTATTCGTATATTTCAAATTATGAGCTACATAAATTTGTATTATTAGCCTGGAAATGAACAAAATTTGTTTAATAAATGTGTTATCATAACACGTGAACTTTATATAGATGTCCGTATGTGTTTGTAGGTTTGGTTATAAGTCATGTGCACACCGCACACCGTATGAAACTGTAGCATAATAACAGAATTTATACAAAGTGTCCACCGGCTAACATAGAACATTTTACAAGCCAACGTTGATTTTGTGAATTATCGAATTGAATGTATTTCTCAAATATCAGTACTCCATTAACGTGCGGCATTGTTTTATAAAATATAAGAAGATGTTCAAAAAGTATGTGTCATTATGTCCGTTAAAAGTACATAACCTCGATTCGGTAATATATTATGGTTTTGTTTAAAATTTCGTTAGATTCGATGAAAAAGACAGTGTTTCTGGGATACAGCAATTAAAATCGTCAGTGCAAAAAGGTATTCGTTCCAAACTCCTTGATCTTTATCCTCATTTAGAAAGTCACGTGGACACTATTATTCCAAAGAAGGATTCATTCCGAATTGTAAAATGGTAAGAGATTTATAGACAGAATATTTTATGAAATTGTTAATAATTGAACGTATTTATATCTATTTTTATATGTCAGTCACGATCATATAGAGATTATTGTAAATGCGGCAGGAGACCTTTTATTTTTCCGCCAACGAGAAGGACCCTGGATGCCTACCTTAAGATTGTTACATAAATGTGAGTGAGAAATGATTAAATTTTAAACAAATTTTGTGAAAAAGAAATTATAAAGAAATTTTGCATTATGTTGTATATTTAGTATTGATATATCTGTAATATATATATAGGTATAGATATGTATACGTATGTAGATATTAAAAACTTTTAGATCCATTTTTTTTACCAATGCAACAAGTTGATAAAGGTGCTATCCGGTTCGTTCTTAGTGGAGCGAATATTATGTGTCCAGGTTTAACGTCGAAAGGTGCAAAGATGTCACCTGTAGAAAAGGGAACAGTCGTTGTATCCTTTGTTAAAATATTTTAAGTTACATACACACTGTTTACCAATCTTAATATTTGTTAGTCTATTAGATTCTTAATTAAATATGTAGGCTGTTATGGCAGAGGGCAAGCAACATGCTTTAGCTGTCGGTGTTACTACATTATCAACGGGCGACATGTAAGTAAAATGAGGCACATGATTATTTTTATATACAAAGTGTATAAAAAGTAAAGTGCTAGGTGTATTATAATAATATAATTTGCAGAGTCAAAGTGAACAAAGGAGTGGGCATAGAGAACTGTCATTACTTGAATGATGGATTATGGCAAATGAAACCGGTGAAGTAAAAAGACTGATGTGTATGTTGTTCAAAATGTAATCATGTGCGAAAACATCTTGTTCGTTGCACAAACACGTTCTCTGGAATTTTTGAAAGTTACATGTCATGCTGTGAAAAGCAACAGTATTGCTACTCAAAATAAAAAAAAAGATTAATATTACGTTTTTATTGTACAAACTGAATGAATATGACAATTTTATTATAATTGTTTAAATGCATCAATATTATTCGAATGTAATGTCCTACAGTTTACATAAATCGAAAGCAATTCTATATAAATAGAATTATGTAATTGTAGAAATATAATTAACCAGACCCTGATTTAATATCTACTTGGCCTTCTTGGTTGTCTGAAGAAACGGAACGTTCGTTTTCGCAATGTCCTGATGCCGGAGAATAAGATGAATTGTTAGCATCGGATGTTGGTGCAGAAGCAGTGTTCGAACCAGGCACACTGTTATTAGTAGTATTATTTTCTCCGACGGCATGAGGAGATTGTGGGTGATAATGTGGACTGTGCGGACTATGAGGGCCATGAGCATGAGGACGACCCATTACGTGTGGTGAATACTGTGAATACGGTTGATGATAATAGGGATGTGCATATTGAGGATACGGCTGATGATACGGTTGCTGCTGTGAGTATGTATAAGATGGATGAGGTGGTCTCGGAGTTAATGGGACATTTTGAGCTTGCTGAGTTGGTCCTGGTTGATATTGTTGACCATAGCCTTGATTCGGTGGAATCATCTGGGGGGAATGCGGATTAGAAACAGGGCCTTGCGGTGGAAGCACCTGTGTTCCCTGAGTCCCTTGTGTTCCTTGATGAGGTGGCATTGAATGATTAGCTAACATTCCTTGCTGATGAGGAGTATGCTGCACAGGTGGAGCTGGTGAAGAAACAGGAGGCATAGTAGGCGCATTTGCAGTGACACTTGCATTTGCAGGTGCACTTGAATTTATATTGGATGGTGCTGCTGTTGTCGTAGTAGTAGATTGTGGTGGTTGTAAAGGTGATGGTTGCGGATGCGAAGCCGATTGTTGTGGATGCTGTTGGTGTGGCTGAGATGTAGGTTGTTGATGTTGAGTCGAAGGAGGCTGTTGCGATGGTTGTGAAGGTGGTGGTTGTTGTTGTTGTTGCTGCTGCTGCTGCTGCTGTTGTTGTTGTTGCTGCTGCTGTTGTTGTTGCTGCTGCTGCTGCTGTTGTTGCTGCTGCTGCTGCTGCTGCTGCTGTTGTTGTTGTTGTTGTTGTTGTTGTTGAAGTGGAGGTGGTGGTGTCTGTTGTTGTATTGGACTAACAACAGTCCCACAATATATTCCAGAGCTAGGAGCATGTTGATTTGAATTTGCCTGAACCGATGGAGGTTCAGGTTTGTTGTCAGTATATGGCGGTGAAGATGTTTCCTTTTTTATTTCATTTGTAGTCTTTTCCGTTCCATTTGGCTTTTTATCTATTGCCTCGTTTTCAGGAACCTATAATAGAGAATAATGAGCAGGCGCCTTAATAACAAGTACATAATTACTTACATCAGATGGAGTTTCATCATTGACTGGTGCAGGGGTCGGAGTAGGCGTGGAATTTGGAGTCGATTCGCTAGATGCTGGCCCGTCTGAACGATTTTCTTCTGTTCCTTTCAATCTATCTCGTCTAAGTGCTTCATATTGACGTTCTACCATTTTATTGAATGTTTCTTCNTGTTGCTGCTGCTGTTGTTGTTGCTGCTGCTGCTGTTGTTGTTGCTGCTGCTGCTGCTGCTGCTGCTGTTGTTGTTGTTGTTGTTGTTGTTGTTGAAGTGGAGGTGGTGGTGTCTGTTGTTGTATTGGACTAACAACAGTCCCACAATATATTCCAGAGCTAGGAGCATGTTGATTTGAATTTGCCTGAACCGATGGAGGTTCAGGTTTGTTGTCAGTATATGGCGGTGAAGATGTTTCCTTTTTTATTTCATTTGTAGTCTTTTCCGTTCCATTTGGCTTTTTATCTATTGCCTCGTTTTCAGGAACCTATAATAGAGAATAATGAGCAGGCGCCTTAATAACAAGTACATAATTACTTACATCAGATGGAGTTTCATCATTGACTGGTGCAGGGGTCGGAGTAGGCGTGGAATTTGGAGTCGATTCGCTAGATGCTGGCCCGTCTGAACGATTTTCTTCTGTTCCTTTCAATCTATCTCGTCTAAGTGCTTCATATTGACGTTCTACCATTTTATTGAATGTTTCTTCATCTACTGCAGGTTTACAGTGCTAAAATAAAATTGTTCTTTTTTAAATTAAAGTAAATTTAACTTATACTTCGATGAACAAAAATCGACCACTTACTTTCTTCAATTCTTCCTGAAATATTTCACTTGTTTCAATAAATTTACGTTTTTTTGCTTCAAACTTTTCTTCTATTTGTTGCAATTCTGCTTCCAGCTTTTTCTGTATGTTTTTGATCATTTAACATAACAGCTATTAATCATACCATACTGTTTAATCCATAATCAATGTTCAAAACATTTTATATTACATTACCTGGTGCATCGTTAACGATTGTACTTGACGTCGCAATACCTGCATTCGTTGTGTAGTAACAACAGAGCGAACATCTGGGACTACAGTGTCACTGAATATTTCATTAATAAGACGATGATTTCTAGTATACCGCGAATATGCAACATGTTTCACAGAATATCCATCGTCTTGATCTATAAAATTAAATACACATATGATATTATGCACGTGATAGACATACATTTACGTACCATCATCATCTTCTGCAGGTAAGATATCTATTCTTCTATCTTGCGCTGCTTGACCTTTAGTACCACCCGATGAACGTTCATGACTTTCTCGGTCATCATTACTTTGTTGCGCAGCACACATTGCTAATAAATAAATGAGATATCATTAATTTCATATTTCCTAATTTCCTACCCATTTTCATCGATTTCCAATATTTACCTGATTTTCCTCTGTTTTTAGCAGCAATGTAAGCCAAATAGGCAGGTGAATTGTGGTAAGTTTTTAAACTTTTTTCATATTCCACCTGTTTCAAATATGAAAAATTAGCATTGGCTACTGATAACAAATTTTCAACAAAAATATCGATTATCTTTTATACCTTTTCTGCTTCGTACATCTCAATAAATTCCGTTTTGTCCTCCTCCGGCAAATCTCTCCACATTTGACCAATAATCTTCCCTATTTCCCAAAGTTTTAATTCCGGATTCTGAGCTTTCACTTGGTCCCATACTTTTCTACTATATCTCATGTACGGCATAAGTGGTTTCTCTGGCGGTTTAGGTGGTTTGGGCATGCGAGCGTCAGCCTAATAGAACAACGAAGAAATAAATTTTGTAAATTCTCAAGGTTGAAAATTTGACTTCAAATAATATCCAGAACCGAGTACGTACATTTGTGTTTTTGCCAACCTTTTGCGGCGTAAAGCCTGGATGACTATGAGGTGTTTGTATAAACGGGCTTTGAGCATCTTTCTACAAATTATCGTAAGGATTAACTGTTTATTCTAAAAATACTTATTCAATTTAGACTATACTTACGCTGTTCGCTGAGCTATTGCTACTTCCACCGGAAGCTCTAAGACGTTCTGTAAAAATGATTTCTAAACTTAAGCATTCTTAAAAAATATGTCAAGTAATACTATAGAAATCAAGATTAATAACACTTACGATTCGATGCTACGATGTTTGATGTAGCCATTGCTACTTGTTTATAGTTTGGTGGCAAAGCCATTTTGTATGCACGTGTCGTGAGGTTTAATTTCTCTCAAGATTTATCACACGAAGTTAAACAGTAAGCAATTATTAACGATCTTATATCGTAGACGACTATGAAAATTTAGCTGTAAGCCTTCACGAGATTCACTAAATTGTGCTGCTGTGTACACGACCGTTACTGTAGGACAGCTCTAATTTCACGGCAAAAGATATTACTTTTATTGTAATTCTAACATAGAATTATACTTTTATTACTTTTGTAGATCTGCTTCATTTCTTGATCATATGAATGATGAGATTGTTAAACAATCAGCATTTTTATTAATCTACAGAATACATTCCGGCGTTGTCACCTTTTTATGATGTGCCACAGAATTACAGAGTATACTCTAGTGGATATATGATACTGCCAACATTTATAAAACGGTAATGCATGTTACTTTGACTCGACATAGAATTGCATTGTTGCGTAACCATGCGATCGGATAGGGAATTTCTGGCTATTTTCGATATCTAGGAGGATAGAGCATATACAAATGGCATATATGCTAATATGCTATAATAGCTGAATTATGGCAAAATACACGCACTTCGGTTGTATTCGATTTGACTCGGAACTACTCGAACGAAAATAGTCGATGGTATGTAGTCTCTCCTTATCACGAATTTCACACCCCACTCTCGACATAATGCTCAGTCCATTAGCCAGGATTGCATGAAGCTACATACATAGATATACAGGGTGTCCCATTTGAAGTAACTTTTTCCTGAGCGAAAATGCAATCCGCGGCTTTGTTTGCGAGTTATAAGCGAGAAACAGTGACCAATGCGAGGCGAGATCAGCTAGCGCGAGACGACCGAGCCAATGAGCGGAACTGGGCTTCGCGCGCTCGTTAGCTAAGCAGTCTTGCGTCGGATGAGCTGACGTCTCATTGGTCAGTGTTTTTCGTTAATAACTCGCAAACAAAGCCACGGATTGCATTTTCGCTAAGGAAAAAGTTACTTCAAATAACCTCAGGAGTCAGTCATTTCTCGGAAGTATCATAATTTTGGGACACCATGTATACGTATGTTCATAGTATGTGGGGTGGAAAACCCGCCAAAACATGAATTATGGACGAATTAGGTGCGGACATCTCAAGCCAATTTCTTTTTTTACTATTCAATATTTGCTTAGGGCTTCTATGAAAACATTCTCTCTATCGTCTCGCCTACTTTATATCTTCCTGACATTATATAGGTCGAAATAATATATCAAATTAATTTTTCTAGGAAACGAAATCTCAAATGAAAAACTATATTTTATGTATATCTTCGACACATTTTCTTATGTAGAATCATATCCTTTCCGGTTGTATCACCACTTTAGAAACACGCTATACATATACTGTATATTACGAGTGTAATACGAGATTCAACTCACTTCAGCTATAAACTCAAATTGAAAGATTACGGCATCGAATACGTTGATATGTGCGTAGGTTGAAATTTAGTATTGGATAAATAAACCATGTTATACAAAAATATATTATTTTATTAAATTTATACAAGGCAGTTATAACATTATCGAACTCAGTATGCAATTTGTACATTTCCTACGTTTTCAAATTATTCGGCATCAGTGTTGCGCGAATCATTATACATAATAGGTATTATATGTATATTATTGTTTGGAGGTAGATTTGTACGTAGACAAACATACCCAATAAGTATAGTATATCAATATTACAAACTGGTGTACTGTTATCGGTGTTTTCAGTTTACAATATAATTCAGCGAGTATCTATTAAATTTTGATATTGTGTAATACATTTTAATTGGTACATGTACTTAGTCTACGATTTGCAATTTATGCATTACTAGTGGAATAAAGTTATGAGCAGCACCTTAGGTTCGATATCACAGTTCGGTATGAACATTTTATGAATTTCACAGATTCTGAACTCAGAACATTATAATCTTTTCTTTTGGAATCCAAATTTCCTTTGTAAATAATGTTCGATCCTATTATGTCGTAGTTTCCGATCGTCAGTGTTTCAAACTATTCTAGATAATAGAAGTATAAATTTGATTATTGGTGTTCGAATATCCTGAGTGCGAATGATCTGTTCGCGGTGTGTTCCAAATCTTGGTATTTCATTTCTGTTGTTTTCGTTTCTTTAGCCTTGGCGTTTAGCAATTTTTTGGAATATTTCATCTTTGTAGTTTGTATTCCTGATATACAATTACTTCATCCTCGTGTTACGATTGCTCCTTTTTGGTATTTCAATGCTTCTAGTATTTCTATGATTGATTCCCTCCCGTGTTTAATATACAACTAATCACCGTATTTATGTAAATTGAAGTATTTACAACTTTGCTATATGGAACTTTCAAAATTGCTGAAAGTGCCAGTTAAATAATTATTTTAATCTCGCGGTTATTCATAGAGTGTTACTGCTCCTCCGTTTCACATTACATAACATTCGGAAATATTCCGCAAGTCAGTGTACCTAATATGGTCATTATCTACATTAAGTATTGTTTTTATCGCTAGGAATGTATATCATTTCAAGTATAGTCACTATTTTCCATGTGTCGTCGATGCTTTCGCTAGAGCTTCCTGCTCCCGTTGATAGCTAAAAACAAATATTCACTCTTCAGTGAACAACGTTCTTACTGTCAAATAATTCTTATAAATAAGATTAAATACTTATACATTAGTAGAATATTGAAATATGCAGGTTCCGTGCTTTAATAACTACTTTAACGATCTTGAATATTATAAAACTTACATAATGCATTCAACATAATAATCTCCAATAAAATTGATTATGTACATATGCGATAATCGATGCACAAGAATGTGTATGCAATTTACATTGAATTATGAATGCATTTAAATTCTATCGTATAAATCACACAGGAATAATAATAGATTAGAAATTTGGTTTTCTGTGCGATTAAAATGTGATTAAGAATAAAATATACGGCAGAGACTCTTTTATCTGAAGGTTTAGTTTTGTAATATCCTGATATCAGAACATTCTATTATCTAGAAACTGTATTCAAGTTTTCTCTAGATGATATAATAATTATTCTAACGGAACGTTTATATAGATACCAGAAAATTGTAAAAATAAATGTTTCTACTGTATACTCATTCCAAAACTTATTCTCTACAGTGTTAATTAAAAAAAAATCAAGAAGTTTTTCAAGTGCTTTTCCTCATATATCTAGAAAAAATATTTGAAAGAACTTACGTAACAAGAATGATATGAATTAAAATGTATTCGCATTAAGCACAAATGCGTTTGTTGCAAACAATGCATCAAGCGCTTCGTTGTGCCTTACGTACTTAATAATGTTATTGAATGAAAATGCAAAATATAAAATGTAAGATATATGTATATACTTACTTTACTGCTCTAGCAATTTGATAAATAGACGTTATCGCAACGAAGAGATTTACGCTAAAGAGACTCCAATTTTTCGGGGTGATTGCTAGGGAATATCTGGTCCATATCACTCCCGTCGCGGCCAAGGCAGACGATTGGCTAACAGAAAGCTGACTTGCTGGCCTCTGTAGGTCACTGAGGCCAGCTATTACAAGCCCCTAAAATGTTCGAATTTCGTTCAACAATACGGTTACTTCGAACAGGAATGTATTACAAACGAAAAGTGACAATCATCAATAAAGGAACAAGTCTAATTATGTGCGAGAAACGAAAGAACAGAAAGCTTAGGCACAGACATTGAGATTGTTTACTTCAAGGTTAATCTATTTCCAGCTGAATCGACCACAATTTAGCAAAAGCATGCGCACAACGGTGATCTCCAAAATATTCAATTTGAAGAATGTTCAAACTACGAATCAACGATAGGCAAAATTGTTGTCCAAATAAGAACGTTCGAATTGTAAATAATTACAAAATTGTTTACGCGTTATTTGTACGTACGAAATAATCCAAATTATAGATTACAACAAATTTTAGTACGAACGCGATAAGTTTCGATATCTATCGAAAAAAAACATTAATAAATGAAAAATGATAAAATCAGTTAATATTTGTTATCTTTTTGTAGGTATAATAATCTTGCCTATCTTCTCGTACTAGATCACGTTGCAGAAATCAATTTCATGCATCGTTACGGAAGAAGAGGAGAATAAACGATTACGAAATCGGCGAAGGTCGCACGAGCGGCGACAGCCGTTTCAAGATCTACGACCTCACGTGTCAAAGTCGCACTTGGATCGAGTCCATTGTACGCGAATACACAACTGCCTCATGACACGAGAAAATATTTCTGCAACGTGTTTATTGGCGAGCGACGTAAAGGCCCCGCCGCCGCGTTATCCGCCTTGAAGTAAAATTATTTCGCTTATATTAACCACAAAATATATGCACACGGTCGCGTAGAGACGGAAAATTTGATTACGCGTTCCGTGCACGGATTATTCGCTTCACAATTTATGGTATTACGAATACGAAGCACGAAATATTTAATAGCGAGACATAGAAGTTCAATATTTATTACTGACCCATTTAAAAGTCGGTGCCCAGAAGAATATAGTCTGCGGACCTGAAAGGGGAAAATAGGTCGGTACTGCCGTGTTACATTCCTCTTTTCCTGTATTTTTTTGTTGTTTTTATATCAAATTGGGTACAGCACAAAGAAAGAAAGAAAAAACACTGTTCATGCTCCAACGACCATGGTCATATCGAGTTCTCCTTTTATTTGGAAGTTCAACGAATTACACACCAGTCGTTATTAACGATAGCATCCGAGTTACTGGATCTTTGTAAATTATTAACATTAGACGAATGACAAAGCGTTATACCGTTTCTTCATTGGTACATTGACGAGTTCTTGAATGCTATCATTCGAAAGATACGTGTGAAGATAGCTCTCGGGTTCGGAGAGAGAAAATAAGCTAAAATGTAGAGCAGTGTGTCGTGTGGTAAAAATTGATTTTCGTGTGAAACGATACGACGGTCAAGTCCACCAAGAAGATAACAGTACGTGTTACGTGAATAGAGAGATAAGGAAAGAAAAAAGCGCGGTGCTCGTGCTCCCTAAGACGATTGCCCCTTTTACTAATCTTATAGTGTGAGAACGCATGTTTCAGAGTGGCACGTATAAAAATGGTACACGATGTCGGTCGACACGTGTGGAAAAAATTTAAAAAATTCGAAAATCCTAGACAACTTACTAACCAGCTGGGTGATTCCACAATGGCTGGAGCTGCTGGGGCACGTACTTGCCGATCGTTAGCATCGACTTCTTATAGATTTGAGACATTTTTTTGTAACGTGTGCTCGCACACACGGGTCGGGAACAACTAGTGAAACAAACGGATATGAAAATCGAATTCTGGGTCCACGCGAGGAGAGCGAGCCGACCTGACGATCCGCGCACCGAGACTGAATATCGTGCAATATCATAGTGGTAGTGCAACGATTGGTAGCCGTGCTGTTTCCTCCACGGGTTACCTTCTTCCCTTCCCCGCTTTAATTTCCTGGACCTAAGCGTGCTCCCACACATGTACGCACATTACGATAAACTATTTAAAATATGGTTCAATATACGCGCTCGCGTATCGATCGATTTCTACATGCGATGATACAGTAATTAGTACGAGAATACTCACGGTTAAAAATGCCTTCGACGACCGAAGCTAAATAATTTTGTATTCGTAAAATAATCGAATGTCAGCGTGGAAATTTGTGAAAATTCTATAAATCGTTATCATTTTTATCGTGAAGTTTGCGTAACGAGAATTTACGATATGTAAACATGTCTATTTATAAATTAGATTATCGAAATTGATACGCAAGATTACCTTCTATGTATTTAGCTTGTCTCATCTGTTTACTTGTTAAACATCGTGTCTCTTTCGATCAGACCGAAGAGTATCCTTTTTTCTATTTCTGTCGTTACACGTCCAATCAACATTTCTCTAATATATATATTTTTTAATATTTCAGTAATTTATTCTATAATACTATCTGATATGTTGATAGAAATTTCTTAATGCTGAGTTACGTATGTACAGTGGCTAACGAGAGTTTTCTTTACATTTTTTGTCATTTCGAGTTATTTTATACAGTTCGTAAAAAGTTATCGCGTTTTAAAAGGTGCTCGAGCACTTTATAATACAGAATATAATAATACATAATAATATAATATAATATATATTTATAATATTATATAATATAATATATATTTATAATATTATATAATATAATATTATATAGTATTATATTAATATTATATAATATAATATAAGATACTTTATAATACAGAATACATTTGGTAACAAGGAAACAGCAGCTATAAATTTAGTGGTAACATAACTATCAACATTACTGTCGCTGCTACGGAATAATCGACATTGACCTAGAGTATAAAATTGGACGCAGGATACAGTGCCAAATTGTACGATATAAGATCAGCCAACGTTTCAATCAACGTGTTAACCATACGTAATCGTTAATGGAGGCGTGCTTTTGCAAATGCAATTCCGGATTCAGTTCGTTGATCTTGTGGGAACGATGCATGGAAGGTGTACCTATATACAAGGCTTTATTACAATTAAATGTGTACATTCCTCTTTTATAACATCGAGTAAAATACAATAAATGCTATTAAAAAATTGAGCTCAACGAGAGATTGCAGAATTGTCGCAATTGCTATTCAAGAGTAGCACTGGCTAGCGTGTTCGAGTGGATTGCTATTGCTTAGATCTCTCATAGATTGCACCGCAGTTGACGAATACATGTCGATTATATGTATTCTATATATCACAATATTTACAAATGCTTCGTCGCGTTTACAACCACGTTCGATTATACGAATTATACATATACGCATTTCTAACAAATTTGCAATGTTTCACAAACTTCCTGCAAAAATCTGCATGCATATCTTATTTCTCCCTTATCGTAACGTTACTTTTATTCTTTTTTTATGTGTTTGTTTTACTAGACGTTCAAAATATAATAGATATAGTAATATATGAGATCAAACAAATTTAATGAAACCGCAAAAAATCAACGCATACAAAAAAGTATTGCAAGAAAATTTTCAGATTATAGAAGGTAAAATAGTTGACCGGAACGTACTCATTAAAAATACCATGTTGTCACACGAAGTTGTTAAAATGTTTAAAATTATATTGTTTCCCATTTTCTATGTAAATTGAACGAGTAAGGTAAATATTACCTAGAGAGTACCGCATTGTATAGTGATAGTTGGAGAGTAGAATTAGTATGTATGTATAGACATACTTAAACTATAACACAGTTTATGGATAAATTTTCAC